AGTGAGACTCCAACTCAAAAAAATGAAAAAAAGGAATGATGCACTGATAAAAGCTGCAACATACACGAACCTCAAAAACATTACACTAAGAAGCTAGACACAAAATGCCACATATTATATGACTCCATTTATATGAAATGTCCAGAGTAGGTAAATCCATAAAGACAGAAAGTAAACTGCTAGTTGCCAGATGCTGGGAGGAAGGGGGTGCTATGGTCTGAATGTGTCCCCCAAAGTTCATGGGTTGGGAGGTGGGGCCTAATGGAAGGTGCTTGGGTGAAGGAGCTCTGCCCTCATAAATGGATTAACCCATTATCACAGGAGTGGGTTCCTTATAAAGGGCAAATCTGGTCCCCTTTTGCTCTCCCTCACCTTCTCATGCCCCTCCTCCATTCACCAATGGATGGTGCAGCAAGAAGATGCCCCTTGACCTTAGACTTCCCACCTCTAGATCTGTGAGAAATAAACTCCTAATCGCTACAAATTACCCAGTCTTGGGTATTCTATTATAGCAACACAGAATGGACTAGATGTGGGGTATGAAGATGGACTCTAAACGGGTACTACCAAAGTTTTCTTTTGGGGTGTTGAAAATGTTTTGGAACTAAACGGAGATAGTGGTTATACAGTATTGAGAATGTGCTAAAGGTACACTTCAAAATTGTTAATTTTAAAAAAGATAGAAAAATGTGTGCTACTAGAAGTTGGGCAAGTGGTTATTGCTTAGGAGGGGAATAGAGGCTTATTTCTTGATCTGGATACTGGTATTGGGGTGTTTATGATCCAGGCATTTATCTGTGGTGTTGCATACTTTGGTAACAAGCTAAGCAAGGAAATCTAGAAGAAAAAATATCCTCACAATCTTATCCCTGTCTTTAAGATGAGGAAAACTGAGGCATTAAGAGGTTCCATTACTTGCTCAAGGCTCCCAGCAGTTACCTGGGAGAACTAGGATTGGAACCCAGAGCCCACATCTTGACCACTTCACTGTCTGCTTCTAAACCAGCTGATGGGGCCTGGCGGGGACCAGGCACTCGGCTACTGGTGGTGTGCTAAGGCTGTGTCAGATATGGCGAGTGACTCCAATTAGCCATGCTGTCACTGCACCCTTCATGGGCACACCTTGCTGGATGACAGCACTGGTATTGAGCACTGGTTCAGGAGTCAGAGGACCTGAGTCCAATCCCAGCTCTGCCCCCTCCTTGCTGAGGGCTTAGGCAAGTCACTCTTCCTGCTAAGCCTCAGCTTACTGGTAAGATGGTACCCAACTCACAGGCCATCTGTGAAAAGTCAATAAAATTGGGATGGGGTAGGGGAGACACAGTATCAATAAGGGTACCTGATCTCAAACCAGGCAAAGTGGGGACCAAAGGGAGGCTCAAACTTTACCTGTACAATGACCACTTGTATACCTAATCCT